TTGGGTTCAATGTGGTCACATTTAGTCCCTGACCAGATTTGGCTCATCGTATCTGTAGTCTGTCGCCATTGCGTTTTGGGTGCATTTACACCTCTACTTTCATTTGGTCAAACACTGTCGGATTGCAATCCGATCGCCCAAAACACATAATGTAATGATGAATGTAGTCTAGGAAAACATATACATATCAACTTAAAGACAATAACTTGTTCTTCCATTATTGCCCCTTTTGCACAGTGCAAATATACAAGTGCATAACAACCTTTGTACAGATTCCAGGCACTGTTACTGTGATTATAGAGAGCTGAATTCTTCCCGTACCTCCTGGTTCCACAAGCCTCCGTAACACTGCATATTTCTGCATAGACGTTTCTTTTTAATCAGGCTTTCTACGAGGCTGACACATAATACTTGGCTCCTTTGTCCATATTCACAGAAGAATGTCTCTGCTGTTGCACTTCCTGCTTCCATTGGAGCACCATGTCATTTCAACAAAGATAAAACAACAATTATTTTGTTAACATTCAACAAGTACAGCTTCCGCGAGTCTTAGACGCAGACCCGCCATCAACATATCAAGGGAAGTTGTTGAATGCTAACAAAAGAAATACTAGCCTGAAAGTAGGGCAGATCTTCGGCTCTCCAGGCCAATACACGCACATGTACTTTTGCACATACACACACACACACACACACACACACACACACACACACACACACACACACACACATACTCACCCCCACTCTTATTCCCACTGCTAAACTACCCTCCTCAGCGCATTGTGCCTGATCTATCAAACCCAAAACAAAAGACACTTGTTTTGATTTGTTTTCAGAAAAGGCCAGATTGAAGCTTCAAACTACCATTAAATGTGCTGAACAACCCCAGGATGCCCGAGATCCGTGTGTGACACCAGGCCAAGCTGTCAAATATTTAAAGCAAACTGTCGGCCCCCCCCAAAAAAAAAAACATTAAAAAAAATTAGACAAACAAAAAAAAACAGTGTGTCACAAAAACTGAACAGAGCTGTAAAGCTGTACTGAAAGAGCGTTTCTGGGACTGGTGCTCAGCTAACTGGCACACTGTCAGATGTATAAGGTTACAAGGCCAAAGCCAGTCCGGAGTGGTCTCATATGATACACTTTTGGCCAGAACTTCAAAGAAGTCTTTCTTTACACCCAAATCTTGAATTATTTGATGGCAAATCAATGGCGACTTTTGTTTGGGGACTTTTCAAAGCCTTGGGTTAAATGTACTTAGGCTGTATAACATATAAACTCTTTACATAAGTCCTAACTGTTGCCTGAACAATCATAAATCTCAATTAGTCAGTGCAATGTCTACCATAAATAATTTTTTCAACATTGATTGACACTGATCGAGAGAATTTACAGACCTTTTTGTTAGATTTTTTTTCATGTTTTTTGCCTTAAAACAATACTCACATGCTATATGAACATTTCAAAAGTTATGAGACAACCCTTTCCTACTGCGACTAGACACCAAAAGACGGGGGGACCAAATTCACAGTCCTTGGTCTGTGCAAAAATGCATTCCAAAAGGCTACTTTAAAGGGATAGTTTACACCAAAATCACAACACGGTCTGTTTATTATCTCGAGTGACCGGGTCATGACTTCTAGAAAGAGACATTGCTGTTGAGTTTTTCAAATACATATATTTTTTCTTGCTTTGTGCACCACAAGAAAAGTGCCATATTGTCCCATAATGTTCAAGACAACACAAACATCGCTACAGCCGATATCTCCAAAACAAGAAAACTCACACCAACACAATCCAAATCGAAAAATAGAACTTCAGGAAAGGGGAAATATATACATTTTTGATTTTGGTGTGAGCAGTCTCTTTAAGGTTGCTTTTGGCAGTGGGTCTTTTTGATTTGCCGGTGTGCAGGTTTATTGCCGCTGTTGTTTCCTCACAACAAACTTACATGTGACTTCTAGGATGGATCTCTCTGCCAGCTCTGCAACGAAATACAGTCTGTGGCAGCACAAAGGGAATTTGGCTCCTAAAAAACCCTTACATTTGGAAAATATCCTCCTATATATCATGAAGCCTCATATTAGCTTCATCTGAACTCTTGAATCTTTCTTACACGAAATTAGAACTCCGGGCACTAGGAAGGTCCCTTCAATGTGTACATAATGAGTTCTAACAAAAATTTGACTTGAGAAACTGACGGCCAGTTTGACCTGAAAGATGCATTGACATGCATTTGTTTCATATGGACATGGTAAATGGACTTGCATTTGTTTAGCGCATTTGTAGTCTTTCCACCACTCAAAGCAATTACACTGCGTGTCATCATTCATCCATTTCCACACACATTCATACACTGATGGCAGAGGCTACATGCGTGGTGCCACCTGCACATCGGTAGCAACTTGGGGTTGAGTTTCCCAAGTACACATTGACATTGAACTGGAGGGATCGAACTGCCAATCTTCAGATTGCAAGACAACTTGCTTGCGTTAGAGCCCTTGCTCCATTCAGGCTAGTATTGGTGATTTACACAAACCAAAAAAATTATATCTATCAGATTTCTTTGGGGGCATTTTAAAATCCCCTTTTTCGAGAATCATCATGTCACTGTGATTCACGAGATTCATCAAGGACCTGTTGACATATCAAGTTTACAAAGACTGTTGTTTTGAATCACATGCAATCTGTGCAAATACTTCCATAATCTTTATTGCAATAAAAGATATATAACACAACTTTCTGATTACGCTGCATCTGCCGAAGAATCAGTGTGTTTTTGACAGCTGCTTCAATGGATGACATGCATTTTTGAAATAAGATAAACACATTCCATGTTATCCATCACTCACTTGACTGTCTAAGGGACAACAACAGCGGATTGTTTACAGCCCATTGATGGCAGAATTGTGGCCTGTAAAAGTGAGACAATACTGCACAAAGTTAGACACATTGTCACGGCGGTCACAATATCCAGTTTTGTCTGGGGCATTCACAATCATTAATAGCACCCCCACATCCCTCTGTTGGTTACCCGTCTTTAGACCATGATCTGCAGCACAATAATGTATGTGTGTGTGTGTGTATTTGCGTACTTTTTGGTTTATTCATAGACACCTTTGCCCGCTTCGTATCACATTTGTCAATGTCAGCCCCTCATCCTAATCCCTCCTCTTGTCAACACTTCATTAGTAACCCCAGCAACACATGGGTACACACACACATGCATGTCTGAACATACAGCAGTGATATAAATAGTAAAGCCGCACAGCAGCTTCCAACATTATTACCGCAAGTGCCATTTTTTTTTCAAGTGACACTTATTTGGAGTTGACAAGTGTTGATGGGAAAACTGCTGACGAACAACAACAACAGCTCTATGCTGCTAACCAAACTGATGGGTGTGGATTCATGGAAAACACATGGATGGTGTCAGATTTGACATCTTGAGTAAAGATTGTCAGAGCAAAGTTGAATTTTATTAATTTACAGCTAACAATGTAGGAAGCAAAGCTGGTGCAGCAACAGTGGAATTTTACAAGATACAATCAGTGAAAAGTATGACAGTGATACAACTTTTAATTACCTGCTTAATTAAAGTATGTACTCATGGAAACACGGTTACACAACCTGTTGGCACTAAAATGATTACTGGATCGTGTGTACATATCTGTGAAGGATTTCAAGGAGCACCTGTAAGTATTTAACCTCTGCTCAAGTACACTAAAAGCTAATTTGTTTAAAATACTAGTTCATAAGCATAGCATCGAATCTCGCATGATTATCCACTGATCAAGGCAGGTGAGAGCCAACACTGTTAGCATTCAAATGTCCAAAGCCTTCAACACACAGTTGTTCTTTGTCTGAGAAATAATGATGTATTAGATTCATATACATTTATTCACTTGTGAATATACTTTTAAAAAGTATGTTAAATGTTTTTATTTATTGGTGTGTGTAAGCGTGGAAGTGTAGATTTTATAAGCATAAATGTAGAGTTAACCAAAAAGCATTTTTTTTCTGTAGTACTGGACATTGTCCCCCTAAAAAGAAAACAATTACAGAGATAGTACACACGTCTTTTGAATGCAAATAATAGCCTTAGGTTTAACCTTAAAGCTATACTAATCGATATTTTTATGAAAACAATAAATCAAATGACTATGTGCGATGGGAAAATGGTCGCTCATAGACATAAACCCACGGACAACTATTGTTTTGGCGCAGTCTCACTGCTCTCATTAACCTTCCCACTGTACCCACTAAAGCCACTGCACAATAGCTGCACAGCACCAAGTGGCCGGCAAAGCTACCAATCATAGTGAAGCATTTAGCAGCTAAAGAGCCAGATCATTTTTAGGATTCAGTGGAGATCCAAAGAGAGTTAAAACAAGAGTGAATATTGTACTAACCTTTGTCAGGGGGGGTCAAAAACACAACTCCAAAGGAATGTTAATCTTGCTCTGTCTGCAGACACATTCACTTTGAAATAATAATACTTCAAATGTTGTGATTTACAGCTTGTTCTGCTGCCCCCAAGTGGCCCAAAAAAATCAATTAATGCAGCTTTAAAAGATAAGGCTGGTATTCTATTTGTATTGTCAACAAATCCCATGAAATGGCTGAAAGCAACAACGGAAAGATCCTACTGGCAAGTATTACCTGCATGATATAACTTTTCCCCCTATAAATGCACTGGTTGGCATGTTTCTTTATTACATTGACGAGCACAGTAGTTTGAGTAAAACCCACATAAACTGTCCTGCTGCCGTAAATCTATAAATACTTACACACCAAATGTGTATTAATCCACAGCTAAAAATAGTTCCCAAAAGTAATGTCCTGCTGTTTCAGGGCATTACTTAAAAAAAGAAACTATATATTTGCCCCTCTTTTGTAAAGATGTACTGTAAATGTATAGTAGGTATGCATGAGCTTGAGTCTGAGTCCCACAGACAAGCCAGGGAAGTCGGAAAGCATTGAGAGATGGACACACTGTTGGTTTTGGTCTTTTTATATTAGATAATTTCACAACAGGAACAATATTTTAACCTAGTGGTATGCTTTCATTTCTCAAGAAACAAAAAACAAAAAACAAAGCCTTGATATATAGCAACTTCTTTTACAAATCCTTTTTGTAAATTTGGAATTGTAAAGAAAACCCAACCCTGTCAAAGGATGTGCTGGACTGTGCTAGTGAAACACTGCTGCAGTGGGCATCGCTCTGAGCTCCTCCTGAAACTGGTTACAGTTGGGATCCCCTCTTATTTTAGGCGTTGCTGGAATCTGGACCCCGGTTAAGGGGTTAACGCACCAGCACTCGCCCCGCTGGCCGTGGGTGGACATGTTGCACTGGAGAGAAGGAAGAAAAACACAAACTAGACAAGTTGGAAAACACTGGAAAAAAGTGGGAGGGGTAAAGATGCACAGTGGAAAATAGGGGGTGCGTTAATGAAGCATGGCCTATGGTGGCTTGAGATGTGTGTGTGTGTGTACTTGTGGATCTTCTGGTGGTGGGGGGCTATTGGATGAGAGTGAGGGCCATGGTTCGGGTGGGAGAACACTCACCCAATAACAGCCCATCCTCAGGTCATGCCCCCTACTCACAACCCATCCACAGCCACACATGCCACCACAGACACTCACAAACACACACACATACACACACACAGCGGCATGCCAGTAGACCAGCCCCGCCCCCCTCACACTTTCTGAGTAGAGCCCCCCTCTACTCAGAAATGAGGTCGTAATTGAAGTGGACACAGTTTACATCGCGCACGCGGGGCAGCCGCGGAGGGGACGGCCAAAAGAATGAAGAGCTGGGGGGAAAGAAAAAAACTTTCCATTTTCTTCCTTCGATGAGAAAGAACAAAAAAAGTGACAGTTACAGTAATTACCCCGCGACAAGGAGGGACAACTCCAAAAGGGACCCGGGTGTTGAGGAGGTACAGTGTTCCTCCCTGGGAACCGAGGACTCCGGTCCGAAACAATGCTGTTGTTTGTGACCAGTGATGAAAATTGGCTGAGTGGTTGAGAGCCCTGCTTTAGGAAACTGTGGCGCCTATTCAAATCTTCTTTTCTGCTCTACTATCCTCGTAAGAAAACACTGGATATGTGACCTTGTTTGTCCTCCTCCGTCTGATTTCTATGGATGAGCAGAATTCAAATTCAAGCCCCTAGTCGGAAGCACAGTTCGTTCCTCGGCCTAACAAAAGTCTTCCCATGAAGTACGCCAAACTGTTTTATTGCCTTGTAACCTTGAGCTCAGAAACTGTTGCCTCATTCATGATGACAACATCTCCACGGGCATTTTTGTGTATGTGTGTCTAAGACCAGAGTGTTAAGGAAGAGGAGGGTGTGTGTGTTTGCAAAAAAAAAAAGGGGTGGGAGGAGGGGGGCAGGTTATATTTTTTTTCCAGGGTGATTTTGCCAGGCTGATAAAAGAGCGTTTGCTCACTTACCTTCCTATCCAACAGTGGACTTACGTGTCGTTACACATTCACCAACAGGGGACTGCATCGCAAACAAGGGACATTTTGGAAGTCCCCTGATGGGCATGCTTTAAATCAAGCTAAAATCATGTCTCAAACCCTCTGGTTTATATTATTTACTTTAGCCAAGTGGGGACTTGACTTTTGTATGTGTGTGTGTGTGTGTGTGTGTGTGTGTGTGTGTGTGTGTGTGTGTGTGTGTGTGTGTGTGTGTGACAGTGAGAGTGAGAGAGAGAGAGAGAGAAAATCCAGGGGAGAATTGAACAAAAAGGTACAGTATGAGTGTGTGTGTGTGCGTGTGTGTGTGTGCGAGACGGATTTTAAAAAGGTAGAGGGAGGCGGAGAAGCAACAAAGGGAGAAAGACTGGTGATCAATCACATTCACACACAAGCCTTTTTAATCAATAAAGACAGTGGTCACATAACTACCAGCAGAATTAGAAACCTGATGACTGGTGTCCCTCTTGTGTTCGTGTTCACCATGAAACAGTAAGTCGCCAGTGAATCCCGCAGAGCAGAAAACTACTGCTGCACTGCTCTCTATGGGATGAAACTCTCAAACATGTCACAACCCTGGCCACAACTTTAATAAGTGATGTCACAGCAGGTGTTGTCCATCTGTTGTCGAAAGCAAGACACCTGCTGTGACGACACTGATTGAGGTGTGGCCAGTATTGTGACATTCTTGGAACATTCCACCCTTAGGAAGAAGCAGTTTTTTCATTTTTTTGCCGTGTTTTTCTACGTTAATTCGATGACAAATTAGCTCACTGCAGAGTCGATATGGAATAACCACCATGTGAGCTGAATATTTGAATTGGAATGAATGACACGGAGAGTGGTATAAGATTGCACAGATGTCCAATTCAGTCAAACACCACCCCCTCAGCCTATTACTGAGACACTGTTTATAGAGTTTTAGACGGCTGTCATTTCATGGCCATCTTGCTAAAATACCTGATATACTAAATGTGGTATCTTGGGGGAACTTTGTGAACTTGACTATCATGTAAACTACTGCATTTGAATGACGCTTGTATCAACAACAGGGATGTAATGGTTCACAGAAGTCCCGATTCGGTGCCGATATGGCAGAAAAAAAAGCATAAGGATCCAATGCTATTCATTTATTTTGCATAGCCAGTAGTGCAAGTGTCAAAAACAGACACAATACTCCTGCTGGGGACTGAGGTAACATTTTGTCTTCTGGCAACTTAGGTAAACAATTTGTTTCCTAAATAAAAAGGAACATTTTTAACACTTCAGTATAACACTGTACAAACACTGAAGAAAGTGTTTATTCCCAAAAGGTAATAGGTCACAATAGACTATACAACTGAAAAGCACCTTTTATGCTATGAAATTCAAAATATGGTGATTTGTACATCTGGGTGATGCCGTTGAATATGAATGAGCACGTTCAATGTGTTTTCATTCACATGATCTAAAACGGTGGCGCAACTGTCCTTGTCCTCATCAACAACTCTCTCTCCGTTTCTGTTGTAGCTGACCTGAATGTGCAGGTGGGTCTCCCATAGTTTGTCTGACCTTAGCAAATTTTGATAACTGCAACCTATAACACTTAGCGCTGGGCATTAAAACAACCTAAAAGCTTTAGATAAAGTTTATTTCCGATATAGTTATTCCTAGAGTTTGCCATCTCAGGGCTGTGTGGCGCGGGTTATATACTATATATATTGTGATAATTATGGATCAATATCATGAATATGTGACAACATTTTTGGCCATATCATCTAACCATAACTGCCTACAGGTAAAAGTTTCCAGGCGGAAATGTCTCTTTTTTCCACATTAAGTGAATCAGTCTACGTGTATTCTGGTTACAATCGATCGTGACCCCTGTATCCTAATGGTTCAACATGTATACAAGAACCGTTACAACCCTAATCAATAAGCATTTGTTAACAGGGCAGAGATGTATAGAGTTGCAAGACATTAATTCTTCCAATCTTCACCAAATATTTAAAAAAAAATGTGATCATTCCAAATCCATTTAACAATCAAAACAAGTATCCAAAATTAATTTCTAGTTCCATTATGATATTTAAACTAATTTGGAAAAGTACATATGATAGGGAAAGTACATACTATATTTGGGGTGTCCTGTCTTGTTTATGGGTCATCCTGAGTTGCATCGGTTGCATTTATACAATTTTTTACTTTTCTAAATCATTCAACAGTTTTTAAACAATGTGTCTTCAGTGGATATTTCAAAGTGTTTACCTTAAGTGTGTGGGTGACCTCAATCTTAGAAGAATGTCATTCTTTTTTTGCTGACATTTACATTGCCCTTTGTCATGTTTACCATGATTTTCAATGGTGAAGCTGCCATGTTCAGTCGAGATAAAATGGCATGAATGTGAGACCAGTGCTCTGTCCGTGGCTCACCTGTTTGAGGTTGTACAGACCATGTTTGTCACAGTTGGGAAATTTTAGTCCGTACAGGTCCTCCAGCGGGCCTCTGTTATCTTCAGAGGTAATTTTGGAGATCTCCTCTAAGACGCTGTCCAGCTCCTGCTGACAGGCGCTCTGAAGGACGAGCAAGGACAACATTATTAACACCAGTACTAATTGTGACAATAGCTATTGAGCACTTAGCACAAGCAGACATTCAAATAGATCTCCAGAAGAAAAACCAGTTAACGATTTAACAAAAACAAAATAGATTCACCAGAAGCCAGTAAATAGAGTTGGTATAAGTTCTATGTGTATGTGTTCTGCCCAAGAAAAAGAATGGAGAAATAAAATACTTCTGTGTGCCTTGTAAAAATGTCACAAATACACACATTTATAGCTTACATTTTTACGAGGGCCAGTTAGGCAAGCAGAAAGTTCAGCCAGTACTTATGTGAGTCTGGTGGATTGGAACATGACTGGCTAGACTGCTCAACTCAGCAGGTGGCCACGGCCTCACACACACACACACACACACACACGCATATGCAGACCTGTGCAGACACATGTTCATACACCTTCATAAATAGAGCTCAGACTATTCCTGTTGCATGGATGGTCGCACACACACTCACCACGTATAGTATCCTTGTGTACATGCACACACACACAAACACACACACAAACACTTTAATGTAACACACAGTTACCAGTGTATCAGGCTGCCAGTGGGATCAAAGGAGTCCAGTCTTATGATTAGTTGGCTGAAGATGAGAGAGAAGGGCAGGAGGAGGCGCAGTCTGCCATGAACCTTATCAGACATCTGAACATATGGATGAAAAGCACTCTCTTTCTTTCTCTGGCTCATTCTTTTAACACTTTCTCCTACAGTCTTTGATTCCCTCTCTCTCTCTCTCTCTCTCTCTCTCTCTCTCTCTCTCTCT